GCTGTAATGAAATGCTTCTTCTAATCATGTGGTTATTAAATTTTTTAAAATTTTTTAAAAATAAAATAAACTTTGAAAAAAATGGATTCCTAATACCTGTGGCATTATATACCAGTCCTGGGTTGCTTATATCCATCTTCTGTCTAGTTTAAGCAGTGAGCTGAAGATTTCTGTCACTTGCAGTACAACCTAACAAAAGTGGGTAGAACCTGCATTAACAGATTCTGCCCACTTTGGGGACTGAACACGACACAAATCAATCTTGCACTGTAAGAGAAATATGAGTTGGGTGGAGTGGGAGATATTCTATAAGGCGCTTATTACACACACACACATATACACACACACAGACACACACAACTGGGCCCCTAAGACCCTAGTGAAATCATCTGATTCCTGGGGCAAGCCAGACCTCAGTACCTCCATGTGCCTGGGCATTCCAGTTAACTTAATCAGTAAACCCCTTACTGGCATAAACCAAGTTAGGATGCCATTTTACTACTGACTATTGAAAGGCTTCTGATTTTCTTTTCTTTTTTTTGAAATATTTTATTTACTATTTTTATTTTATGTGTATGGGTGTATTGCGTGTGTGTACGTGTGCCCATGTCATGCAATGCCTGCAGAAGAGGGTATCGGATCCCCTAAAACTGGAGTTACAGACAGTTGTTAGCTGCCATGTGGGTGCTGAGATTTGAATCCAGGTCTTCCACAAGAGCAGCCAGTGCTCTTAACTGCTGAGCCATCTCTCCAGCCCCTGCTTCTGACTTTCTAAATCAAATATTCTATCAGTCATACCAATTACCATTTGGTCCACTGATGCAGTATTATAATGGTTTCTTTTGTCCCACTGTGATATTGTAATATAATAACGATATATATTTGGCCCTCATTCCCAGTTCCTGATAGGGTTCCTAAGGCTCTTGTAATTTCCAGGGCAATGGGAATGACAGGAGCTTCTTTTGTAACAAAACTATGTAGCCTTAGTCCATGGTTCTGACCTGAGGGCATCTGGATCCTGGGGCTCTCAGAGGTGAAGAGTGCCTTGTATGCTGAGATGATGGACAGCTAGAAGCCCATGGAAGGCTGCTTGATGGGGCTAGCTGATAACCAGAAAGACCAAGGCAGGATGGAAGGGTTAGAACTTTCAGCTCCATCCTGACCTCCAACAGAAAGGGGCAGACATTGATTTATTCATCAGTGGCCTATGGCTTGATCAATGATGATGGGCTTCAAAGAGCTCCCAAGGGGTAAACACCCTGAGGTGCTGAGCCCAGATACCATGTGTTCTCTTCCACTTGGCTGTTCTCAGTTGTATCTTTTATACTAAGCAGGTAATAGTTAACAGGGCCTTGATGAGTTCTAGGAACCATCCCAGCAAATCACTGAACCTGAGGCAGTATGGTGAGGTCCTCAATTTATAACTGATAAGTTGGATATGTGTAGGAAGCCAAGGACTTATAACAGGCATGTGAAGAGGCATCAGTCTTATGAGAGTGAGGCCTTAACTCATGGCATCTAATGCTAACTCCAAGCACACAGTGTCAGAATTGAATCCAATTAAAAGATTTAGCTGAGGCTGAGAACTGGTTGGTATGGAAATTGAAAAAAAAAAGGGGGGGTGGCTAGAGAGATGGCTCAGCAGTTAAGAACACTGGTTGTTCTTGCAGAAGACCCAGGTTCGAATCCCAGCCCCCACATGGCAGCTAACAACTGTCTGTAACTTCAGTCCC